TGCGGGCGCAGTGTGTCGGGGGTGCGGGGGGGGGGGGGGGGGTGTCTCAGGCCTAAAGCTGTGTAAGAGGCCCCAAAATTTCTGATGGCTGTCCTGCATAGAAGTGAACGGTGATGGCAGAAAATTACAGTCCGGTACATATTTTCCTTAAGGGCCCATTCACAACACATCCAGATCATCTCCAGACCAGACCAGATTGTTTCCCAACCCAAAATGCATTCTAATGTATCCCTATGCTATTTTTGGCCTCTGTTCACACCAGCGCAGTCCGTTCCAGACCAGACAAATACTGCATCTCTCATTTTCTCTGGTCTGGAATGCACCGGAACGCAAGGTAACGCATCAAAAACACATACAAATGCACCTGAAAACCATTTGAAGGTTAAAAAAAAAAACAGCTCAGGAAAGCGGCAAAACGCAATGCACTGCGTTCCAGAAAATGGTGTGAACCTGCCCTTAAGGCTCGGTTCGCATTTTAGACCAAGCTTCATGTTTCACCCATATTTAGGCTGTAACATGAAGCACGGCGACGTTCCTCAATCTGCCAATTCCATTTTTCAGTTTGATAGTTGCAATGATATAAATTTAGCACAGCTGTGCGTGACTTTGTCCATACAGCCACCATGTCAGAAGCCACCCTCATAAACACTGGTATCGGCCCGCACGTACAGCTCCGTCCTGCATGCAGGGCCGTACCGAGCAGCTCCCGGGAAGGACAGGTGCTGCATGTGATTAGTACGCAGCCCCCCGTCCTTCTCTATGGGAGTACGCGGCCGTATGGCCCCCCACACTCACCAGCCCTGCACAATCCAATGGATCCTGTCTGCGTCCGAGCCAGCAAACACGCACCCCCACGGACCTGCACTCGAGGTGAGTGCTAAAGCGCACACCAGCATCCCGGCTCCCCTCTGTGTCCTGTAGGCCCGCCACAATTCGTCCAGACCTGAGGCTGAGTGGAAGACATTGAAGGAATCTGCACATTGCACGTGTGAAGCACTAATCAATCCATTTTCTGCAGGCTTCAATGCAAAAAATTAGTAATTGCACATTAATCATTAGATCAATGTTGAGCATTTAATAGTTTTTTGTAAAAGATTTACTAAGTCTTTAGAAAATGCAGCAAAGACACAAAGGTATGAATGTCCCCTATGGCAGAAGCAGTCAGTATCATTACAGAATGTTTACCGACAATTTAGAACGTTTACTCTACTGCGCATTTTAAAAACTGATAGATTCTATATAACGCACTGGGGGGTGTATGAAAAGTGGAGCAGACAGAATCTGGGGCAGTTGCCCATAGCAACCAATTAGATTAACTTTTCAGTTTGTCCAGTTAAGCTTTGAAATGGAAAGATAGAAGCGGATTGTTTTTGTTTGTTCCACTTTTCTCCCAGTGATTCACTGAATCAGTAACATGCAGAGAAGTGAATCCATCTGCCAGCCTGTACCCAAATATCCTCTTCAATCCGCAATCCAGAATCTGCGCCGGACTAAGGCGCAATCGCACATACGCCTTTACGTACCTAAGAACAAGCAGCCTCCGGGGCTTTGTCCACACTATAGCGTCATATTGGTGGAGATATTTGAGCTAAACGCAAATACCTCCGACAAAATGGCCGCCAAGAGCCACTGCTGGAGACAATATGTGGGTATCAAACGAACTAGTGTCGAAGCGTCTGCAAGGGGGCGTGTCCATGTAGGTAATGGGGCTTATTACAGTTATACAAGAATTTAATAGTATTTTTGATGATTTCATACTTATTATGTGGTATCAATATGTCTGTATTCCTATTATAAGAAGTTTAGACAACATGAGGACCGACCATGCAGCGCAGTATCCATCAGACAAGGAATATTCAGACAATATTCGTTAATCACGGCTGAACTGGTGGTTGAACGAGCGGGGTCTCTGGTGGGATTTATTGTGGGGTGGCGCCCTCTAGTGGTCAACTTCGCTCTTTATTTTATTCCTATTTACTGTGTTACCGTTTATTAATGTTCAGTCTTTGAGGTTTCTAACGCCTTATAAATCAATTATAATAATTTAAATCTCAAATCCAGAATAGTAACCCATATGAAAAACGTTAGCAAAAAAGTTATGTATTTAACCACTTAACCCCTTCATGACTGAGGCCTTTTTTTCATTTTTTGCACCCAAGTTATATTACACATTTTAGGCCTGAAAAGGACTTAAAACCCCCACACATTATATATTTTCTGAATGCCAAGACCCTATACAATATAATGGTGGTAGTTGCAAATTTTTATGTTGCGCAATATTAGCACAACTCCTTATTAAACCCCAAAATTTAGTGACAAATTTAATTAAATGCTCCAAAACACAACAAGATACCCATTTTGTTAATTAAATATAAAAGATGAGGTTACAACGAGTAAAACGATACCCAACATGCCCAGTTTACAAATTGCGCGCGTCTGTGAAACGGCAATAAACTGCAGTACCCCAAAAAGTCCATAGAAGACGCTTTAAAAGCCCCCACAGGTCATCAATTTAGAGATACCCCAAAATACCGGCCCTAGAAGTATTGCTCTCCCTCTGGCGTGCGCGGCGGTACCCAACATGTGTAGCGCGTTCGTCGTTTTCATACATAGGCGCACCCGACGCGTGTTTACGTGGCGACGCGTATGCTCGCGAGGGCAGGGACTTTTAAAAATGTTTATTATTAGATTTATTTTATTTCATTTTAATTTTAAAAACTGTTTTTTTGGTTTTTTTTACTGTACTTTGACTGCTATCACAAGCCCCCCCATGTGATAGCAGATGGTGGTGACAGGTACTCTTTAAGGTGATGCTGGGGGTCCAAATGACCCCCAGTGTCACCTTTACACTGGAAATAAGCTATTGAAGTGCAGATCGCACTTCAATAGCTTATAGCTGGGCTGCAGGAGCCCAGAATTGACAGCCCACGGACCGGAAGTGATGCAATCTGCATCGCTCCCGGTCCCATAGAATGGGGAGGGGATCGATGAACGGAAGTTTGTTGATCTCCTCCCCCGCTCCCCGCGGACACCAAGGAAGCTGGTCCCGGGCCCGTAGGAGGGGCAACGGAGCCCAGGAAGCAGGGCGGGGGGCGCGGCCCCTTCTTCGGGACACAGAAGCGATCTGGCGACAGGTAAGTCGCCAGAATCGCTTCTGTTGTAAAGCCGACAGTCGGCTCTACAAGTTTAAACAGAGTCCCGGCGGCTTTTGCCTGTTTAGTCTGTTTAAACAGCCCCGATGCTGGCGACGTACACTGTACGTCGTCAGTCACGAAGGGGTTAAAGACCGGGGTGTTTACACCCCCTTCCTGGCCATCATGGAAGCTGTACTGAAATACATTTTATACAATTTTTTGGGGACATATACATTTACTACATAATGCAAAAAGTACAGAAGTTTAAAAAAAAAAAAACCTTTTCCCTTTATTATGTTAGGAAACATTTATTATTACCCATCTTTTTGGTATAATATAAAGGACGGGGTCACGTCGGGGAAATAGATACCAAACATGTCAAGCCTTAAAATTGCACACGTCCGCGAAATCGCAAAAAAATCTACAACACCCAAAATTGGCCATAGGCGATGCTTTAAAAGCTTTTACCGCTCATCAGTTTAGTGTTAACAGTGATTGATGGTCCTAAAATTATTGCTCACTCTCTGACGTTCGCTATGTGGGGGTGAGGGACTTATTTTTTTGGGACCAATTTTTTTTTTTTACACCTAACTTTATTGTTATCACATAGACACCGGACCGCTTGTATGTAAATAGCCATTGCTGGCTGTTTCAAATTCTGTCAGTTTCCCACTCGTGCACGCCAGTGGGCGTGGGCACGAAGGACGTTTAAAGACTGCCACCCACTGCCAAAAGGCTTCCGTCTGGCCGTTTCTGAACGTTCGGCGGTCAAGAGGTGGTTAAAAAGAAAAATTTATAAAGTTATAACTTTTTGTGTCACTTGCCCCTCCCTTTTTAGATTGTAACCTCTCTTGAGCAGGGCCCTCATAACCCTCTTCTATTGAAATGTATTGTAACTGCACTTTCTCCCTTTAAAAAAAAAAATTACTGTATAATATAGGTCGACCATTCGTCCCCGATTTCGGGGGACAGTCCCCGGATTGAGGAGACCGTCCCCGAACAAATTATGTCCCAGAAATGTCCCTGGGAACATAAAATTTACATTTTGTTATACTCTCCTGATCCCTGGATCCACCCTTCTCATCTGCCCCTGCTGAGACCCTATGCATCTGCCCCTGCTAACATCCTATGAATCTGCCCCTGCTGAGACCCTCTGCATCTGCCCCTGGTTACCCCCTCAACATCTGCCTGAGACCCTCCCCATCAGGGGCCTAGCCTCCTGTGGGGTGGCCTGCTGGACCACAGTCTGGCGGAGATCAGACTGTGTGTGATGACCAATCCCAGAGATGTCGTTGTGTATTTGTCATTGTAACTGCCCAGTCTGCCATGTATTGGTTCTGGTCTGAGGTCTGCCGTGTATTGGTTCTGGTCTGAGGTCTGCTGTGTATTGACTCTGGTCTGCGTTCTGCCGTGCATTGGTGCAGGTCTGAAGTCTGCTCTGCATTCTGTCATTTAGCTCACTTTCCAAATCGCCGATATTGGTCTAGATTTTTAAATTCTCCTACCAATTGCGCTGCAATTCACCTTTTAGTGAATAGGCCTTCTATTTTGAAAATAATTGGAGAAATAATTTCTGTAACACAAGAATGTTCATGCGTGTGAGGCTTGTGGATGGGTGTGGCTTGTATATGGGTGGAGCACAAGGTGGGACCTATATCTCGTATTGCCCGTGGGCCCCATGTGTTGTCAGTCTGCTCCTGATTCTGTCTGTCCTTTTTCTTGGAAAAACATGCAAAATTTAATATCCAAGCTGCCACCACCCACCAGCAAGTTTGTGAGCAACCTTATTTCTGACACCTGTAGGCCTCAATCACACATCCTATGGGGTCCAGGCAGCAGAATCCTGCGGCTGGATGTATAGGGGGTTGCGGACAGCTCCAGCCAGGAAGTTTGTAGAAAGCAATGACAGACATCACAGCTGTCCACTCCTGTTCACATGTATCTGCATACCAGCAGTTACCTGCAGCTAGAGACAGATGATTCTGCCCTGTTTCACCACTATCTTCTACATCCATCGCTTACCTAGTCACACATTATCTCCCACAGACTAGCAAAGACTTAAAGGAGGACTATGGGGTTTTCCCCATAGTTCTCCTTAGGGTAACGGGAGGACACAAACTAGCGTCCTCCCGTCACCCTAGGCTCAGTATACTGCTAGCTGTAGCTCGCGGTATACTGAGACGCCGCAGCTGAAGCGGATCCCGACAATAGAGGCAGAGCCAGCTGTACCCTCCCCCGACCGTTCTGCCAGTCAGCGCTTGAGGAGCGGGGAGGAATCCAGCCCCTCCCCTGTCACGGCAGAGAGTTGTGACAGGATCGAGAGGTGAGCGAACGCTGGTATGTGTTCGCTCACCTCCCGATCTACTGAGCCGACCTGTGACAGTCTCATTGTCACAGGTCGGCTAGAACTATGAGGTGAGTGAAAAGCACTCACCTCATAGTTCTCCTTTAAGGTGGCCATACACCTAACAATTTTCGATCGAAAATGTTTCTTGCTGCCAAGAACCCTCTTTCAAACTTAGCTCATCATGCACAGACCAATGTCGATTTCAGTTATTGTTCGTTAGCAATACTAACTCAACGAATTTCATCGATCGACAGAACGGATTTTTGTTTGCGCATGTGCAGTGTACTTGTTGCGATTGTTTTATTCATCCGAAAACAGCACTAATGCATTGATTTTCATTCAGTTCGAAAAAAGTTTTCCAGCCTGACCAATAGACGAAATTCAGCCAGTAGTACAGTAATTGTCATCGTTCACTTCCCACCAACTGGCCGATTATCGTACGAAAACCAGATTGCATTTGTTTTTCAAATGATAATCGTAAGGTGTATGGGCACCTTTAGGCTTGATTCACACCTAAGCATTGGACATGTTAAAAAAACGCACAAACGCGGAAGAAAAAAACCCAGAGCGCATATCACATAATTTGCTACTTGCACTACTTTTCCGTGTTTGTCGCATGTATAGGAACCCAATGAAATCAATGGGGACACGCGCCAAACATTGAGAACAAATGAGAACGCTACGCTAGGTGTGAATCCAGCTGAATTTATAAGCACTAATAATAAAATACAGCAACACACACAACAGTCCCTTCATATTTGTGAATTCTTTAGGGCAATCAAAAACCAGAAAAATTATATTCATTCATAAAAGGGAGAAATGCACAAGCAAACAGTATTCAAATAAAAGTGATGAGACTCACAGAAACAACACTTTACCTGCTTTTAGGGTTGAGGATAAAACACACAGACTGTCCCTCTTTTTAAACTAACCCCC